TGAGACATACTGCTTTATGAATTAGGAGTGATCGTACCTTAAAACTTGCTTCAGGTTGGCTTTATTACATTTTATTTCTAACAGAAATATTTGGGCATTTTGCAACTATTTGTCGGTAGTTTAAGGGAATTAAAGAATAATGTGGATTATCATTATTGATCTCTAGAGAAATACCTGATGAACTCAAGAGATCATTGAAGTCTCTAAAGTGAGAGAAATATCTTTTCTCCATGAGAAGTTCAAAGTAAAATAAAATAGATTAAGCTGGGTTTTTTTGCAATTCATAATAGACATTCTTGACTTTGGGTGTGGTAACCCAGGCCTGCAATCCTAGCTACATGGGAGGCCTTAAAGAAGAAGCACAGTTCAAGGCCAACCCAAGCAAAAAGTTCGTGAGACCCTAGCTGAACAATTAATCTAGGTGTGGTAGTACATTCTTGTGGTCCCAGCAATGTGGGAGGTCATAGGTTGGGGGGGAGTATAGCGCAGGAGGTGTGGCTCAGCTGCTTGTCTAGTAAGCACAAGGCACTGAGTTCAAACCCCAGTACTATCAGCACCTCAAAGTAGTTATTATGACCATTATTTTATTTATTTGAATAGCTACTGATTTCTGATGTCCTTACTTCATATCATGCTATTTTCGCTTTACCAGATAGCTTCCTGGGAAAAAAAGGTCTTTCATATCTAATGATTTTAATAATATGCTTTTTACTTAACTTGTTCTTGACATCTAATAAAAGAGCCAACCAAAGTCACTCTCAGAGTGCCACACACCCCATCAGTCAATTTTTTCCAAAAATAAATAGAGTAGGTGTTCGGTCATCTTAGAGAATGAAACTAGAACAGTAACTACTCTCTGGTCCCTGCTGGTTCCCATTAGCTGAAGTGATTTTGGTCACAAAAGGCAGAAAGGTAAAAATGGGGTGAACCCAAATTATGAACTGAAAGCTTAATTTACAAAGAGTAATTCCAATTTAACGAGACATTAAAATCAACATTATATTAAAAATCTATAAGACACAGTTTCTTAAGTCTTAGTTCCTTAAACTTGAAGTTGTTTTATTTAAAAGACACAGGTGTTGGAAACAGGACATCAGTCAATGAGCCATGGGTCCCCTTGTGTGGCAGAACCCAGGTTGCTCCAGGGGAAAGACATGAGGAAAACATATGTGGATGTACATTAGGTGGATTACGTATGGTGGGCTCTACAACCTGAAAAGCTAGCTTGAGAGGACAAGCCCACTGAAGCCCTAAAGAAGGCTGCATGACAGCAGTTAAAATCAGACACAAAAGGAGAAGGGCCAACAAGAAGTGGAAAGTCCCCAACCACATCTTACATTTCCCCATTTGCCTGACATTCCCATGACTTTGCCATGCTGATGACTACCCTGAGTCTGGAAATCTGGAAGACTCTATGCCATGCTGAGGACATTTAAGTTTCTTCTCTTCAAAGCAAAATTATTAAACCAATTATGCTCTGAATTCTTCTGAACCACTTTGCTATTACTTGGATGCTACAGCTCATGCTAACCATAAATGAACAAAGGCTGATCTTAATCAGAAGTAGGAAGTGTGCTGCTACTAAGAAAATGTGTGGTTTCTGAGAAAAAAAAAAAGTAAATTACATTTCACAATAAACTCCTGGAAGGGAAAAGGGATAAGGATAGCTTTGGTATTCCTTGTTTGAATTCTTCCAAAAGAAGTAAAGCAATTTTTTTTTTTTAAACACAGAGACAAAACTTGTAATGGGCCAACGGTTGCTCCTTCCTTAGACATACTACAGCCATGAGGTAAGATGTGTCAGGCTGATATTTAAAAACTACCTTGGATAAACTTCTAAAACATAGCAGTAAATATGATTTATGAAGATGTTCACCCTTAAAGAAAATTAAATAACCAACTCCATGTTTCCCAAAGTACGTCAGTTATTCCGTAGTGTGTGTCTCAATGTAAGTCTGTGTTTAATCTGGTTGTATAAACAATTACAAGATATCCAAACACCTCTTTACAATTTATTTTACATCACCAGTGCCTGGGTGTCTTTAGGTTAGGCTTGTATCAAGTCATTCTCAAAAGGCTTGGAAATTTAGCTACTAAAGTCCACTTACTTTATAATTCAGTTGGTTACATCCATTAGATTGGCCTGATTTTTCACATCTTGTCCACAAAATCATTGTAGATATGCAACATCCAAATGAAACTAGATGGCTGACATCATATACATTGAATATGCTCACAAACCCTCACATACATATGAATATGTGAAATCTTGTACAAACAACTATTATCAGAATGATTATCAACACTGCCTTTAAAAAATTAGTCCTAATAAATGAAAAGATCTTAAATTGGGGTGGGAAGAGGTATTAAAAAACTTGAGACCAGGGCTGGGAAGGTGGCTCAGTGGTTAAAAGCGCTTGCTTTGCATGCCTGAGGCCCTGGGTTCGATTCCTCAGCACCACATAAGCAAAAAGAAAAAAAAAAAAAAACTTGAGACCTATTTTTAATTCTAAGTAATGGCCTTTCTCCAGGAAAGTATCTTTTTAATAATTTTAAACTATTTAATATTTAATTATTTAAATACTTTTTACTGATAATAACAAAGTATTCAACTAGATTCACTTACTTAGCCAATATTGAGTATATATACTGCTTGTTGCCAAAGGTTAGATAAACTGTTCTGTGAAGTGGCAACTCCTTTGCAAATCTATTCAAAGATAATAAAAAGATACTGTCTCACAAATGTGTATAGAATTCCAAAGGGTTTAATACATTATGGCTTCATTCAGACACACCATCAGAACCACTTTTCACTATCTTATTTTCATTTCCTAATACTTGTCTTTTCCCCACCTACCCACCCATCATCTATCCCTTCACCTCTGTAAAGATAACATGATTTGGGGAGGAAATATATCATGACATCAAAGCCTCCCTAGGAGCTGAATTCTCACTTCTCATTCCTTGGCCTTCTGTGTCTTGAGAGAAAAGCACTGGAGAAGTCTGAGGGTGGAAATCTCACATGAGACTGGGAACAAAAATTAGACAGAGACTGAAGAGATCAAATGTTTGCACTATAGTTGCTGGGAGGAAATATGAAGCTTCTGCGCTACTAAGTTCCATTCAGATAATCAAGTGCTTTACTAAGATCAGAGAGAGAGAGGACATAAGCAGGAGAAATTGTGTAGAGGTGTTATACTAAAAATATAATGATAAAAGAAAATGAAATTTCATTGTCAACATTTGATTATTTAAAAAAGACATTGAAGTAGGTGGTTTAGATCTAAAGCTTGCTATTTACTATATTTCTCATTGAAGTTTATATATATATATGTATATGTAATTGGTGGAAGTGAATGCTTAGATGTATTAATATATTAAGCTTTTTTTTTTGTTGGTCATGGGGCCTGAATTCTGGGCATGGGAGCTGTCCCTCAGCTCTTCAGCTCAAGGCGAGCGCTCTACCATTTGAGCCACAGAGCCACTTCCGGCTATTTTTGCTTATGTGGTACTGAGGAATTAAACTCAGGGCCTCATGCATGCAAGGCAAGCACTCTACCACTGAGCCACCATCCAAGCCCATGCATTAAACTTTTTGAAAAGAGCATGTGATGTGTTTCAACAATGACAAAGCAAAGCCCAGCAAGAAATCCATGCAGTATTCCCCATAAGCAGATCTCTGTGTATGGCAGGTGTAATTCCCATTGGTGTCTACTGTTTACAAGAATGACTTTCATGAAAAACTAGACTATCAATGAAGGGAAGTGGTAAAGGATAAATGGAGAGAGGTGAGATTTTTTTTTCACATAAATTCTAGTATAAACCTAGCATTCAATATTCATACTCAAAAATGTAAGCATTCAAATCCTTCCTTTTGATAGTCTTTAAGGGATTATTATCAAATAACCGTCTAAAACATAAAATATTATATAATTCATGAAATTATGCTTACTAGGCTGATAGGTCCCTGTTATCTGGTACATTTAAGTGCCTATCTCTTTCTTTGTCTCTTTCTTTAGTATTTTAACCAACGAGAAAATAGTTTTTTAGTTTTTTTTTTTTGTTTTGTTTTTGTTTGTTTGGTTTTTTTTTGCTGGTCCTGGGGCTTGAACTAAGGGCCTGGGCACTGTCCCTGAGCTGCTTTTGCTCAAGGCTAGCACTCTACCACTTGAGCCACAGCACCCTTTCTGGCTTTTCTTCTGTTTATGTGGTACTCAGAAATCAAACCCAGGACTTCATGCATGCACTTTACCATTGAGCCACCTTCCCAACCCAGAAAATGGCTTTTCTTAGTTTATGTTATTAAACTGAGGTAAGGTTTAACTAACTGCTGCTTATTTTGCTTTATGCTATCCAACTTTAGAAAGGCATATTTACTATAGGTTAAATGCAACATCAAAGGTCTATTTACTATTTTAATTTAAATTTTCAGATTCCTTAAAAAATCTGCCTAATGAATTTAACCAAATATTAGCAGGTTTATAACTGTATCACAGAAATTAAGAAAGCCATTATAAACATTAGATCAAATTTAGTAGATCAAAAAAGTCCCCCCCCCAAAAAAAATCCTTCTAATTATTGAAGAGATACTAACTCCTTCAAGGAGTGCCTTCAAGGAACTATTTTGTCTGCCTCCAAGTCCTTCCTGTCAAATTTTAGCCAAGTATTGAAGCAACCCTAAAATAATAACATTTTACAAACTCTTGCCAAAATAAAACAATTACTGAATAGTGACTATTTTGGATAAGAACCTTCATTAAGGCCAATCCAGGCTTCAATGGAATTATTAACTACTTCCTGTAAATCCCAGAAAAGCTTTTTTTCCTTTTCTTTTTTTTTTAACTTTAGGTCAATTTCTATTAGCAAATGACTAGACTGCATTTTCTAGCAAATATGATTCATCCTGTCAAAGTTTCATTCATAAAAATCAATCTGTAGCCACATAATATTTCCATTTACTTTGTAAAATATCAAACCAGCAATAAAACCCAATGGCTTACCATTTTCCTTCTTCATTTTCATATTGTTGAACTGTATATCCAAACATGTCCTCCACTGAGCCCTTGAAACTCATTGAATTCTTCACATCAACATTGAATGATTCACAGACGCCTAGAACAACTTGAAGGAGAAACAAAAGCCAGTTACACAAAGTATATTAAGATCCCACCATGCTTTGAATTATGGCATTTTGAATTAAGGCATTCTTGAGAATACAACTGAAAACTGATTTTATTAAAAATAAGGGCACTGAAACTCAAAGGATGGGCATCTTAAAACTCCTGACATTAACTGTGTTGTTGATTTCTAAAAAAAAAAAAAAAGTGCTAATAGTGACATGAAACCCCTCAGCAATTTGATGTCTGTACAATTTCCAGAAGTAAAAACCTCAAGATGGTGTGGGAAAGTCACAGAAACTCATGACTAATAGAATTACAAGTTTCCTAGCAGTTACCCTTTCAGTAAATCATGGCCATCCGAAATTATAAACAGCTTCATTTTCTTGTTTTAACTACAAAGGATGCAAGTAGTTGCTTTTAGGGCACAATGGGGAAAATCTTTTTCCTTGTTCCTTTCTTTTTTTATTGTAAAGATGCTGTACATAGGGGATATAGTTACATGAATAAGATAATGAGTACATTTCTTGTCATACATTGTTACCCCTCCTTTGCTCTTTTTAAAGAGCAAGGCAAACTGGCCTTCTCTACCTACATGGCTTCCTGTGTCTACATGAGTTATATTCTCCTTCCTTCCCTGATCACGCAGGGGTGGAAGTTTTTACTAAGACATTGAAGCCCCTTTATAATGTGGAAGATAGTGATCACCATGCAGGTTGCTTCTGAGATCAAAGTAGATGATGCATCTGGAAGTTTGCCCAGTGCTTGTCACAATCTATAGACTCAAGGAGAGCTAAAGGCTTCATTGCAGTACAGCTAGTAGAAACCCTTTTGTAAATGAGATTCTCACTTTAAGGTGTTATGATATGAGGACTCAAATCCTCAGATAGATGGTGCCAAATTCTTCATTTTGTCCTGATTTTTAAAGTGTACTGTCGAAGTTCCAAAATGCTACCTCTTAAGTATAACAATTTTTTCCTAAAGAGCATTTTTATAAAATTATAGCACATCTTATTCAGAAGTGATTAATGTCAGTCTCCTTTGTCAAAACCAGCCACACAGATTCTGAAAAATGTTATTTCCTGGTTGTGTAGAATTGAAGTAGATTTTATTATTTATATTATATTATTTCATATTATTATATATTTATGATATAATATAATATTATTTGTTATTTATTTTATTCTCTTGGCCCTTTCTGTATTTTTCCCCAAATATAGTATAATTTCAGATTATTTTCATTCATAATCTTCAAGTTTTGGTATAGTAGTCAGTATTTGGTATAAAAATAAGTCTTACTGGATACATGTTTGTAGTTTAATTTAGAGAAAATGTATTCTTCAAGGAAACAAACAAGAAAATATCAATTACATTGTGTTGATTGATTTATAAAGCTTTCCTTAATCTCCCCTGTTTAGAAATCATCTAATTACTGAAATCTTTCATTTTGTGAGAAATTTTTTTATAAAGATAACTATCAAGTACTATTTGTAGTGTAGCTATCCATAGGGTATTGTTTTCCTAGGTCAGAAAAATTTTAAAAGCAGAGACTATCTTATTCATCATTTTATCCCTTATCAAAATGTAGCCCAGTTCCTGACACTGATGGGCAGTAACACATTTACAGTCTGGAAGACCACATGCTGATGAGGGAGTGTGCCAGCTGTGGATGAGGACCAACAGACCACGTTTCCATCTTAGCTAAGGAAGACTTTTCTAGTTAGATTTTTTCAAAACAGAGAAAGATGAGGTTTGACAGCATGAAGAGAATGTGTACACAGAACTTGGAAAGATCTCTGTATGTAGCAAGACAGAAGACAAGACAAATACAGTTACAAGATTATGAAGAGATCTGCCTTGCTGGCGTGACCAAAGTAAAAGAAAGGATGGATGGATGGGTTTTTTTTAAGGACATTTCCATTATGGGTGGTAAAGAACAGCTGGGTACCATCTCCTATTTAATAGTCTTTCAGACATTCAAAGATACTTTTAAACATGCCACATTCTCTAATCTAAATAGAACATTCTCTTACTCTTTATGCATGGGTATTATTTACTAACTTTTGAATAATTTCAATGGACTCTTTTTGAGTGAGAAATGCACAAAACAGTACTTTGTACAGTAGGATTTCTCAACTTTGGCACTACTACCATTTTGGGTCAGAAGGTTCTCTGCCATGAAGGGCTATCTCTGGTTGAATGGTTAGCAATATCCTTGGCTCTCACCCACGCGTGATGCCAGTAACATTATAAGGATTTTGAAGATCGATAATATCTCCAGATAATTCCAAACTGTTCTAGAATTGGTCTCTATCTAAAAAACAGTTGTTCAATGATAAGAACCAGAACAAAACTGACAACCAAAAGGAGGCTGGGCACCAACTATGGCCTGGAGACCAGGGGCTTCTGAAAACTCAGGTCCTACTGAAACTTCCCATGTCAGCATCTCTAGCCCAGTGAGATGCTCAGAGGATCTGAGGAGCATGGGTCTGTAATATGCACAGGATCCATGCAGGATGTGGAATTTACCTCATTTAAAAGTACTCACCAGGGCTGGGAATGTGGCTTAGTGGTAGAGTGCTTGCCTAGTATGCATGAAGCCTTGGGTTTGATTCCTCAGAAAAAGCCAGAAATGGTTCTGTGCTCAGTGGTAGAGTGCTGGCCTAGAGCATAGAAAGGGACAGAGCCCAGGCCCTAAGTTTAAGCCCTAGGACCAGCACCAAAAAAAGAGAATAATAATAATAATAATAAAGTACTCACCAGACTTCAGACATAAGGGATCAAATAACTTTCTTTTGTTGAGGTCAATTTTACTGTCTGGATTGATGTTTCCAGCACATCATCTTACATCATCTTTAGTAACTGCTCTGTTAATGGCAATTCTTCATACCCCTTCCACATCAGACTAAAAACTTTTGAGTTCCTTTTTAGGCCTATTTATTTTACATATTGTATGGAATGTCTGGGGTGTGTTGCTTTATTTTAAAATTTCCTGTCCTTAGAATTCTACAGGCAATTTGCCCTAAGTAATTGTAAATCAGTTTCTTTCATGTTTTCTGAGGCACCAAGAAGCACAAAGAGATGACATTTAAGAAATAGTTCACATCTTGTTCTTTTGATTTAAAGGAATGAGTAAACTGTAAAAGCAGCTTCTCATAACTTTTGGTTCAATGTGCATTCTGTTATACTATTTCCTTGGAACTTTATGTACCAGAAGAAAAGCAAAATCATGCTTACTCTCAACCAAAGCAAAAAAGTAAAAAAAAAAAACAAAAAAAACCCAAAATTATAAAACAAAGCTAATGGGAATGGCTTAAGGAGTAACATAAAAAAAAGATTGACAAAATAACGAGGAATAAAGCCTAGACTATCATCTTCTATGTCAAAAGAAAATATTCATTTTACGTGTACCAGCAAGAGAGACACATTCTCTTATTAATAACTAAATCATATACTTTTTGTCATTCCTCATATGTTTTACCCCATTAAACTTGCTTATACCCTAGAATTAAATTCCATTATGTGATTAGAAGAGAGGAGCTTAGAAAGACCAAGAACAGGATTCCACAATACAAAGCATTAATCATCATTTCCATTGATTCAGCATTTATATATCCTGGCTCTAAAACTGGAAAGAGCTAATAAAAGGTAACACAGAAATGGTGTTAGAAGGAAGGCCCATTTAATGAATTAGAATTAGGTTATGTCATTCAATCTCCTCAGAGGCAAATCTGAGGAGGAAGATGATCTTCACTAACAATGGACTGAAAAGCATGTTGAAAAGGAGAGAAAAGTTGCTTAAGGAGAGAATTATGGTTACAGATATCAGATCAAGCTTGAGAGACTTCAGTTGAAGCATACATTTAGATGGTAAAGACTTAAAAATGCTTGTTCCATTTCAAAATAGTCACATATGCCACATATATTAGTCAAAAATAGAAAAATAAAATGAGATCTTTGATGTTGAGAGGTACCTGCTGCAAAATAAGTCATTTTGTGTGAGTGATTTCACCAGGATGAAATGTATGTATAAGACAACCAAATGAGAGAAACAGAGATGTAATATATACTCTGGAGTATTTTCTGCTTTGTGGACAAAAAAAGAACTCAATACTGTTAGTGGGAATGTAAACTTGTTTAACTGCTCTGGAAAGCAGTATGAAGGTTTCTCAAAAGGATAAGCATAGAACCACCCTATGACTCAACAATTCCACTCCTGGGCATCTATCCAACAGAAAACAAAGTTCAAGTAAAGCTACTAGTACAACCATGTTTATTGCAGCACTATTCACCATAGCCAAGACATGGAATCAGCTCATTTGATGAATGGATCAAGAAAATGTGTTAGATATACACAGTGAAATTTTATTCACCCATTAAAAAGAATGATATTGTATCATTCATAAGGAAATGGAAAGATTTGGAAAAAAAATATTGTAAGAAAAGTAAGCCAGACCTAGAGAAACAAAGGTTGCAGGGTTTCCCTCACCTGTGGTAGATAGAATGTGACTATAAATCTATAAGTAAATACATTGGGTGGTATGCAAGTGATTATAAATCAATTTACTCAAGTATAATAGACTCTATGGAAAGCTTAAATGGTATAATTTTCTAGAAAGACTATTCAAAACCCAACAAAATCAAGGAAATGGGTACATGCAAGACAGGATTATACCAAAGGGAGAGGGAGAATGAAGGGAGGAAAAGGAAAGAATGCAGTCATAAATTTACTGTATATTCCATAAAATTAAGAAAAGTGAGGGAAAGAGTGGGCCAAAGGGAGGTGAGAATGTTGAAGGGGTTGACATTGATCAAAAGGCATTATATTCATTTTGCTTTTATTTTATTAAATGGCACCTCCTTTATACAACTACTTATAGATAGTAAAAATTTTATTAAAAATGGTCAGGTAATAATAGTACTGAGTTTTTCAGTAGCCTGCAGAGATTAAGCAGAACAGCAGTTGTATCTGTGCTGTGTGTGTATGTGTGTGTGCATGCACAC